AAATAAACAGGAGGTGACATGCCCATTGATGATGCTCCTAAATATTTGGAATGCAAAGAACAAAAATACCCTGCATAAGCCCTAGATATGTTTCATGTTAGTTGCAGCATGGATGGAATTGATTAAAAATTGGAAAACGTTTCACGTTAGGTGCCTGGTTGTAAAGGCTATGGCAAAGAACCAGGCAATGAAACTGACATTTAACATAAAGTTGGCAAAGGTGATGGGCTACTGTGCAAAGTGGAACTTGTTTGCTGCATATATGAAGGAATGCCAATCCAATTTTGCCATGCTTTTGCTACAGACTTTAACACTGACCTACAAGAGACAAATAAGAATAGAATCCAAGACATAGAACAAAATAACAAAATAAGAGCACAGAATGTTTAGCAGAACCTTTGCAGATGCGAGGAACTGTTTCTGATTTCAGTCATGAAAGCTCTCCCTTTAAGAAACTTATCCCTCCCCCCACAAAAAGTATAGCTTCATATGCACAGTAAAGAAATTGCTTAATGTAAATGAAGCATATCTTTTGTCGGCAGATGCTGTACTTACTATGGAGATTTTAATGTGCATTTTCATTTCCCCTTTTTATATTTTAACTTATTAACTCTGACAAGTAACCTCTTGGTTGTGAACAATTTAATTCACAATTCACTTTTTCTGATTCAAAGTGAACATGAGTGCCCTAATCCCCTAATGGGAATTAATTGCATGTTTCAGTGCTTAACTCTGATCCTCTCTCAATTCCCACTGGGACAAGTTTCTTCCTAAAGGGTCTGTGTTTGTTATTCAAAACACAATCTGAAAGATAATGATTTTTTTTTCCTCCCAAAGAGGAACTGGAGCAACCCAATATTAATGTTCTTTCCTTTGTAGGAGAACAAGCTGTAGCCTCTTAACCCATTTGATGTCATGAAGGGTAAACATACAATGCTGAAAGTGGATGAAATATCAGGGCAAAACAGGGTGGCATTTTGGAAAGACAGCACCATGGTTTTGAGAGAAGAGCCTTGTGTTTTCGTAAAATAGTATTCATTTCTACAGCACTGAGGTGTATAAGAACAAAGTCCTGGTGGTCAAAGGGGATGTATTTTTTTTAAAAGGCAGCCCTTTGACCCAGTAAACTTAATTTTCTCTGGGAATTTTTCAGCAGTGCTTTTTGAGTGTGTAAAGGGTTTCACAGAAACGCTGTCAATTTCCATAGTGTATGAGGAGCTGAGCCTGATAAATTTTCCCTGCCAACCTTATTTTACTGTGTTTTATTTCTATCTCTGTTCCTCCAGGAAGCTGAAGGCAGTATATATGGTACTCTTCTTCCCCTTGTTATCCTCCCAACAACCTGTGAAGTAGGCTAGGCTAGAGCCAGCCAGTGGCATAGCTTCATGCTCTAGCACCGGTGGGGGGGGGGGGCAGAGAGCAGGTGGGGGCAGGGCTGGCGCACGTCCTGGGGGGCGGGGCGTGCCGTCTGCGAGGGCAGGGTTCCCAGCACGGGGGGGGGGGGCAGCCACAATGGCACCCTGCCGGGAGCGCGCTGCTGGGAGCGGTGCGCTCCCCCCGCACTCCTCTTCCTCCGCCAGTGGAGCCAGCGACTGGCCCAAAATTTCCTTGGTTAGCTAATGGAGAATTTGAATATGCCTCTCTAGCTATAGACTAAAACTCTGATCATGAGTCCACATTGACTCTCAACTAGGGAGATGGGAATGGAACCAAGGACTGCTAGGGTCATGTTTGTAGGTGCTACACTGGTAATTTCCAGATTGTGTGTCAAGAGAGAATGGCTTTGGAAATGCATGTGAAATGAATTGTTAAAGGCTTTTGTGAGGCCTACGTACTCCCTGGTAGAGGTAGTTGCTGGGACTCTGCAGGTTCAGACCCTCCAAGTGTCCCTATTTTCCAGGGCAGTCCCAGATTTACAGAAGCCGTCCTGGTTTCAGATTTGATCCTGGAGTGTCCTCCTTTTCCTTAGGATGTCCCTCTTTCCATAAGATAAATGTTGGAAGGTATGGAGTTATGTGACCCCAACCCAAGGAGATAATTATACAACCTTTAGAAGACATTTGAAGACAGCCCTATATAGGGATTTTAAATTTTTTAATATATGTTAGATTATGATTATTATGAAGAAATAGGACATCTCTATTTTCATTGGAGAAATGTTGGAGGGTATGCAGGTTTCACAAGTATATAATGCCTACTGGATCACCCCTGTCAACATGCTTGTAGACAACTATCTGAGAAATCTTAAAAAGGTAAGGAAATCAGGACGTAGCTTTGGAGAAGCCATCTTAATTTTTTTAGTCTTAGGTTGCTTCCAGACAGAGCTCCTTGTGCTAGCCAGGTCTTCTGTTTATAATGTTTGAATTGAATTTTAATTGACTTTGCACACTGTTGGGAGTAGTGCACTTTTTTGTTTCTACATCTATGCTGTATCCACACCTGTGCATGTGACATCATTGCTGTGGGTTGGGCCACGTGCTGCCCAGCACATATTCACTGCTAACTCTTGTGGGAGTTACTGTTTTATGAGCCCATTCTAACTTTTTAAATTGAGCTTTTAATTACAGCTAAAATAATTTCCCAGTTTTTTATTACATAAGAGTGAGATATTTATGATGTTACAACACCATAATCAGAGCATGATAGCATTATGGTATTATAATCATGCTTTTCCTCAACTGACTGAGGGGGGGGACCCAAATTGGGTCATTAAGTGACACCCATCACAAATGTTATAATATGTGCTAAGTGGCGATAGGTTCACTTTCCCGATAGGTCATGGGCCACATCAAAGCCACACCCTTTTAACAAGAATAGTGCTAAAGACATCTGCAACGGGGGAGGCTGAGCAACCCTTCTGTTCTTCTGAAATTTGAGGGAGTGGGCATGAGAAAAGACTGTCCAAGAAGACAGAAAAATTGCAGGGGAAATACAGGAACACAATAATTGGATGTCTTCTCGGATAGTATTTTGTGAATGCCCTGTAATTAGGGAGCGAGTGGAGCATGGCCATTCCACACGAAATGACTAGACTGGAAGCACAGTCTCTTCTCTATTCTATCACCCTGGCTCTCTTAATCTTAACAGTCTCTGAAAGTAAACCTCTTGAACCACAATGATGAAATGTTGCTCTGCTTTTTATTCAGAAAAATATGCACTACATCCCTCAATAAATAAATGAACTGGTATGAAAGAATACGAAAAAAATTGAATATGCCTCATAATGACCCTCTGTGTAAAGTGAGGGCCAGGTGTCCTGCTCACCTTCTGAAGATTTTCTGCATCTGGCAATTAAAGACCAAACTGCTGTGTTGGGGGGGGGGGGGAGAGACTGTCTCTCCTAGCAGTTCATGACTGATAGCAAAATTTGGGGAAGCATCAGATGTTCTGGGCTTTAGTTGGACAGAAACATCATGAAGGGAGGGAGAAAGGTTCATCTGGGAGGCAGAATACTTTGAACAGTAGCCAAGGAATAAAATGGAAACCTTTTCATTACTTTAGTAAATTGGAGGCTCTTTTGCCCTACACTGGGAAAGCTGTTCCCAAAATAGAACATCAAACTAGTCAGCCAGGTGTATTGCAAAACACTAGCGCCACACTCATGCCAAAAGCTAGAGTCACAATCTGTGACAGACATCTCCTGGTGAGAAACATCAAACATTTTTGGAAATGGTGTAATGCAATGAAGGCTAGGTCTTTGGCAGGATATGAGCAGTGACCATTGTGTAAGCCTTGCAAATTTGACTTTTGAGGAAGCTGAAATTCAACCTCTGCTTTAAAGCTGGAGTAAGAATTAGGGGCTTGTCTGACCAAGAGCCGAGAACATGGCTGCCCTTGAAATGAGGCATTTTACAACCTCTTGCATCAGCCCAGTCCCCCTTACATGGTGAGATTGATGCCACTGACCTGAAGGCTGGAATTGACTAAAGCTTGGCCCTCCCAGAGTGTGTGTAGAGCTCTTGACACTGTCGCCCCCGAGTGTCCTGGGTGGCATTGGGGAGCCTGTTCTACTCCTTGCTATACCTTGGAACTAAGAGCAATGAAGAGGGATGTGTGTGTGTCTGTGTGTCTGTCTCTTTCAGACTGTAAGTGGTCTATAAATGGAAATAATAAGAATTACCTAAATGCACTAACCCCAATGGGGGGGAGGGTTTTTTGGTAGCGATATTTAAGTGACACTGACTTTGTATCCTTTTCTCTACTTTCAAAAGTGGTGGTGTATTTCACACACAATCCTTTGGTGGCTTATGGATTTCCAGAGCTGGTCCAGTATTTTGCTGAATAGTCCAAACTTGCACACACCCCTCCTGTGAATTTGTTTTAATATCTGTTGGACCCAAGGAGGTAGCATTGTTAAAATAACCTACCACCTTTGCATTCACAGGGATTGTAATGATTGTGTTTTAGAATTATTGATCATTCATTGACTTTATTCTAAAAATGACTTTTTTAAAAAATAGATTGCTTCTGAGACATATTGAATACACAGATTGCAGGGCAGGTACTGTACATAATGGCTACATCATGTACATGAAGGCCTGTCATAACTTTTGGTAATGAGTATGTCAACTGGAATTTATATACAGTAACCAAACCAACCACATACATGCTCACTTGCAGAAAGAGTTGGGTTGTACATACATGCTGAAAACAATGGGATCCTGAAAATGGTTGCTTAGATTAGATGGCCCTGTTCATAACGAATCTTGTGACCCCATACACTATTACATGAAGGAATTGGACAGTGTGAACTGATAACTGGAGTGCTTGCTGTCGAACAACAAGCAACTGTTTCTTATTTTTGCTATGATCTTTGCTTTCTTCCTTTTGACACTTGTATTGTAAATTATAACTGGAGTTAGAAAAATAGCCAGCTTGTATTCCTTGGATTGTTTTAAAGCAACCGTATTTGCTAAATATTGCTGTAATAACAAGCTTTTAAGGAACAATGTTTACGCAAAGTGCGATAATGTATCAAGGCTTATTTTTGTTTATTTCAGTTCCTTTCGTCAGAGGAATGGTTCGTGTCTTTGTCTACGGGACCCTTAAGAAAGGCCAGCCCAACTACCCATACATGATAAATGGTGCTAATGGGACAGCCAGATTCCAGGGCAGGGGGCTCACAGTGGAGAAATACCCCCTAGTGATTGCCGGGAAATACAACGTTCCTTATTTGCTGAATATCCCAGGAACGGGACACCGTGTCACTGGAGAGATTTATGCTGTCAATGACCAGATGTTGCAATTCCTTGATGAGTTTGAAAGTTGTCCAGACATGTATCAGCGAACCCCAGTGAGAATTGAAGTAGTTGAGCAGGAAGATGAAAGTAGTCCACCTGAAGGGACGCCAGCTGTTAACAGCATCCTGGAATGCTATGTGTATAGCACAACCACTTACCAGCCAGAATGGATACATCTCCCTTACTATGACAACTATGATTCCTTTGGGAAACACGGGCTTCCATATGTACTAAGGGAAGCAGAGATTGAAACTGGAAGGTAAAAGCTGATATGGACATATTATCAAGACGTTGAGTAAAATCTCTAGCATTTTTACAGAAAGTAAGCACTAATGTTTCAGACCAGAATATCAAAATATTGGCCTTCAAGCCAATATTTTGGGGTCCAGTCAGGTTTTCAAACTTAAACTTGCCTAGTCATGCAAGATGCATGGATGTTGTGTCTTTAATTCTGTAGTTCTCTGTTTAAAACTTGATCAAGAGGTGGAGGGGGGAATACTGTTTTGCAAAGCAAAGATAAAATACTGCAGTATTTCTAGCAATGTACTGGGGGAAAGAACCTCCAGCTTACAACAAACTTTTTGCATTACTGTACAACTTTCACATAAGCAAGGAAATGGCCCTTGTAAGAGATCCATTAATCAAGCACTGTGAGACAAATGAGTTCGCTAAGGGAATTCTCTTTGCTGATGCCCTCAAAGTCCAGTCCTCTGGCTTTCAGGTGCTCTAAGTGGGCATGGAGGGCAAAAATGATGAGAGCATCAGGCTCTCATGATATGTGCCATTGTTCTGGAGTGGCATTGCTCTGGAACAACAAGTTAAAAACTTAAGAACAGCCCTGCTGGATGAGACAAAAGGCCTACTTAGGCCAGCATCCTTTTTCTCACACGGGCCAGGCGGATGCCTATGTGAGACCTACAAGCAGATCAGAAAGGCCATGTACCTCTCCTGCTGCTGTTCCCAGCAAGTGATATTAGAGGCATGTTGCCTCTGATCCTGCAGGCAGTATATCACTAGCATGACTACGAAATCCATGAACTGAAATGAGTTGACATCATAGTGCTGCTAGGAGCCAGATTTGTCAAATGGGCCTTAAGAGCTCCAGAGAAAGTTATGGTTCAGGAATTGGAAGGAACTAAGAATATTGACTCATAAAGGGAAGTCCAAGTGATGTGGAGTCCTCTGCTTCTTCATTTATTTGTCCACCTTTCTGGACATAATAGTTTCTATTCATTAAAAAGGTAAAGGGACCCCTGACCATTAGGTCCAGTCGTGACTGACTCCGGGGTTGCGGCGCTCATCTCGCTTTATTGGCCGAGGGAGCCGGCGTACAGCTTCCGGGTCACGTGGCCAGCATGACTAAGCCGCTTCTGGCGAACCAGAGCAGCACACGGAAACGCTGTTTACCTTCCCGCTGGAGCGGTACCTGTTTATCTACTTGCACTTTGATGTGCTTTTGAACTGCTAGGTTGGCAGGAGTTCTATTCATTAGGTTTTAGTATATTTACATTCTCCTCCTGCTTGTTTCAGCTCCATAAATGACCACAGACTACTGAACAGAATCAACAACCTCTTTTCATTTATAGCTGAGAATTTTGAAATATGCCAGCAGGGAAGAAGGCAGATTCTCAAGAAAACTGCAAGAAAGCAGTTTTTAAAGGTTGGTTATATTCCTTAAGTACCCAATGTGACCTTGCTGTACAACTGAAGGGCAGAGCAGTTCCTGATATTAATTAGACACACAATGCTACTTCTACTATTGTATTAATTATCCTACTATTTAAGGTTGTACACATACAATTGCTCACTTATGTTCATGTCTTTGTTTCAGCTTACTCTCTTATACAGTCCATTCATTCTTTTGCTTTTGTTAGGCTTCCAAGTAAAAATAGGGTGATGGCAGATTGTTTTAATTGTAGAGTGATAGTGGTATAAATGTTGACAAAATTCAGTTTATTAATTTTTGACTGTAAATAATGAGAAAGTTTGTAATAGATATTTTTAAAATTGTGTACATTGTATTACTTAAAACATTTGTCATTATTATAGTAAATTAAATCTAGATGTGGGGACTTGCTGTGTGGGACACCACTACAGTCACAAGAGTTATGACAGTGCATGCACCTGGTGTGGGGTGATAAACAGGATCAGGCTAGGGTCTGTTTGTTCTCATGATGAGCTTCCAGCCCTAATTTCAGTAGGGAGCAGCTGCACTCAGGAGTTCCCAGTTGGAGGCTCCTGAGTAAAACCAACCCCCATGGGGCTTGCATTTGACACCAGATTTAAAAGGTACTGAATACAAATGTCACTTGCCAAGGAAGAACTGGGAACTTCCTTAAGACTCATGATTGTCGCTTTGCAGTCATATCTTTTCCTGCCCCACGCCTGAGGTCATATATAATGTCAGGATCATTGTCAGGTTTAGTTTAGCCCATGAGCTACAGGTTCCCCATGCCTACTGGCCAATTAAAACTCACCCTTTGCTTATTTTTTATAAAACTGGTAGACAGGTAGGGGAGTTAGTACAAAGTTATTTCTGTTGTTACATGTGGAGACCCAGTTTTAGGTTAAAGTACCAAAGTTGTGAAGGCTTTAAACGACACAGTTTATATGCAAAAATGCTTTTATTAATTTGTTTGATAGCAGTAGAACTGCAGAAGAGAATTACAAATCCCTTATGTACAGGTATTTATAAAAGGAGTGATATGAGATCCAGAGGCAATTTTAAGTTCAGTCTCAGCAAGGTAAACCATATGGACCCTTGCCTCTTGTTTAAGATAGTTTAAAAAAATACCATAGCATCGTTTTAGTTTACATAATTTGCTTGCTACCTTAATGTTCATTTGAATTTGTGGAGGAACATAGAAGGTGCTAGTCAATTGTGGCAACATATGAAATAAATAGTTTCATTCCAGTTCCACAAGCTCATCTCCTTCCCCGACAGTTTCACCAGCTTTGCAATGTACAGCTTTCACCTGCAGCGCAAAGGAAGAAAAAAATCAATTTGATTCTGAAAACAAGGCCAAGAATCTTTTTTTAATTGCAGTTGGCTGTGCAAAGAAAATAAGTGGTAGATTTCCATTTTAAAGACCTTATAAAACATGAAACAGAAATCTAAAAAGCATGTTCTGGAACATAATCAAACACATTGCCCAAGTTTTTAATTGTGCTTGCATTCTATCCAAAACACTTAAGAAGTTTGTTTTTCTGTGTTTGTTTTAACATCTGGATTTTTTAAAGGTGATTTTAAAGGTGAATATCAGACAATTTATACACTATTTTAAAATAGCGCTGTGCTTGATGCTGGTTTTGTTTGTTGCTTTCCATTGACGCAGTTGTTTAGCATTTTTATTGTCAATCACCTTTGGTGCTTGTGCCAAAGTAAATCTACAAACTATGCATTTTGGAGCACAAGAGGTTTGGTTGGTCCCCCCACCCCCAACTGTAAATGTCATATAACAATTTCTGTAGAAATGGGCTTTGCCCAGGACCAGTATGAGGAGCAGACTGCCACCGAGTCTGTCTGCTGGAGACAGAGAGTCAATAGTGCCTTCCTCTAGTGGGTGCTGCTAGAAGAGGGACTCAGGAGCGGAGGTGAAGCCACCATCCAAACTCTGCCCTCATATGGCACACAGGGAGAAACAAGCTGTATCAGAGAGGCGCTGATGCAGCTTGTTCTTCTCTCTGCATCTTTAAACTGCTGGACTGTGCGGTTGCCCTTGCCTCAGCCAAGCAGTTAAAGGAGCACCCAGCCCCGGGCTGGCTCTTGTGAGCTGGTGGCTTGCGGAGAGGTGTGCGAAGCCTGGAGAGCGTGAGGGGTCGGTGCGCACCAACCCCTCTGGCTCTCTAGGCTTCAGCGAAAGCCTGCATTCGCCCCATAGGACGCACACACATTTCCCCTTCATTTTTGGAGGGGGAAAAGTGCGTCCTATAGGGCGAAAAATACGGTACATTATCCCAGCCCACAAGAGCCTGGGTGAAACCACCTCAGCTCTCATGGTGAGAGCGGGGCGGTTTCAGCCAGTGCCTCATGGGCAGAGACCAATGCAGCTTGTTTTTTCAGCATCACGGTATATCACCAAACCACGAGGTTTTACTGGCGATATACCACGATGTTGAAAAGCTGGTATCGCCCAGCCCTAATACACACTAGACAAAAACAAACCCAGGCCTCTTATAAATTGCCTACCAGGAACTGTTTTGTACCAAATAATGTATTTTCACAAATGTTCTGTAAACAAGAACTACTGACATTTATCTATACGTGAGTATCGCCCTGTCTGAGTATTCAGTGTCTATGCGCAATCACAGTCATGTGAGGAACAGCAGGGGCACACTGCCAAGCCCCATTCCTTCTGGCACATCCTCATCTGCTTTTTTTCATCCCTCCATGAGTTGAAGAATCAAGTGCTGAAGTGGGCTGCCTCCTGTACTTAGGGAGGCTCCTTGTGTTGTTTAGAATCCTGATTACAAATAGACACTGAATGCCTCAATAGAGCTTAAAAATGGGACTTGCACTGTGCCTGGTAATTTAGAAAAAGCAAAAGCAAAGATGACACCTAAGTATTTTGCAATATCCTAACAACCTAAAGAACCTTGTGACTACCTCCACATACCCACTAGGATGAAGCACTTTTAAAAGCTTGGCACGTGAAGGGGCAGTGAACTGTTTGTTTTAAAAAGAAGCACTGCTTGTGTGTAAAGTTTTGGCCATATGCTCTGCATTGTGGTCCTAAAGTCTATTTGTGCATGACATGTTTTGGGACTGCCTAGCTCAGGGGTCAGCAACCTTTTTCAGCCGTGGGCTGGTCCACCATCGCTCAGACCATGTGGTGGGCCGGACTATATTTGGGGGGAAATATGAACGAATTTCTATGCCAGTTCATAACCCAGTGATGTATTTTAAATAAAAGGACACATTCTACTCATGTAAAAACACGCTGATTCCCAGACCATCTGCAGGCCGGATTGAGAAGGTGATTGGGCCACTTCTGGCCCCCGGGCCTTAGGTTGCCTACCTCTGGCCTAGCTGAACAATTAGTGAAATTACAAAGGCACGGATTCTGATTTCTAGGGCCACAATCCAGCACAAGCACACCGGACCCAAAGTGCATCTACTGTAACTCTATTGGATTGTAGCCTACCTAGGCCAAATCTGAACAGAAAGGCTGCAGCCAAGACAAATAATTCTGAACATTTGATAAAAATTTGTGAAATCAAGTGTGTGCGTCACCACACAGTTACAGAACAGTGCAATAAGGTTCAAGATTGATGCCAATAATAAAATCTATTTTCAAAAATAAAACTTGTGCTCAACTTGACAAGTGAGATAAAACATCTAGTAGTCTGACTGGACATACCTTGCCAGTTTTAGCAGCAACCAAACTGTTCTGCATTTTCATAGCTTCAATCACACAGACCTCCTGACCTTCTGCAACCTGGTAAAAGCAAAAAAGATGACATTAAAATGCTAACGATATTACAACCTTAAAGTCAACAGGAAAATTAACACAGAAACGTCTTTAAACAAAGAAAAAATACAATTCTTATCCCATGTGTAGATCCTTTCTTAATTCAACTTCAGATTCTAATGCTGATATGCACCATATGATGTACTCTGGTCTGCTAGAAACTTGAGTTCAGATCCTACAGAAATGCAATTCTTGAAGAGGCTTTAACCATCATCTAATTCCCACTGTATAAAGAATACGGATTCTGACTCATCAAAGCTGTGCATGCAGTACAGAAAACTGCAAACACAGGAAAAATATGCATTTTTTGAGGTTGGCTAGAGAATTCACCTTCCCAAGCATCTCAGCTTACAAGTCAAAGCAAAGCAAAACAAAATACATGTTTTAGTCCTTGTAAAGAAAGGATCAGCAATGGCATGCACGAGGCCTGGTGAAATTTCTAAAGTAAGAGAAGCGCTTGCTTGGATTACTTGTCCTCAAAGAGCTTTAGTGCCCTGTGCAATTCCTTGTCTCTCTTCATTATTAAGAAAAGCAGACATTTGCAGACCAGATGCAAGTCTTATGGAATCAAAATACCACCACCCAGTCTCATATTCAGAGTAGCACTCTTACTTTCTGTTTCTGCCTAGCTGAACTCTTAACAAACTGTTCACATGCTCAAGGTAACCAGTGGATCCATTGTGTACCTCCATGGATTATTTTTTTTTAACCCAAAAAAGTTGATCATGTGAGATAAGCACATCCTATGCCAATGAGGCAAGCTCCCTCTGTCTGAGAAATACGCAGCTTTACAGGAAGTTATTGTTATTTATTACATTTGTTAGTTGCTTTATCTTGCCCAAGGCAACTCAGAGCAACCTACAACCAAAAAATCTAGCCAGTTTGCATTGCGTGAAGTAGCTCTCTGTTTCCTTGGGTCATTTCCCCCTCAAACATCACAATTTAAGTGTGACTTTCCTTACTTCTTATCTGAAATTAACTACATGCTTCAGAGCCCACAATGAAAGATCATTTCCACTAGAGATTATACTATTTCCAAACCAGCGATGGGAGCAGTTTGAGATTCTTCCTATACATGGTCTGAAATACTAGTTACATGAACTAATACTAACTTTCAATATTATACCTCCCACATATGCAATTTTGTCACTGAAAACACCAAATTAAATAACAAAAGTTGAACAGATCTACTGCATGCATAAATGTATTTGTCACACTAATTCTTACCACCATCAGACTTCATATCTCCCATAAAACATCTGCTAAGGGTTCAAGTACTTGTTCTATGTTGCCCCTCCAATAGAACCTCATTTCTTTCATCCTGTCTTGACACCTACATACATTACCACCTCCATGTAATAAGCATCAATTACATCAGGAGTGGTCACGATTTCAAAAGAGAGAGACTGTGGTGGGCATCACATGTGTGTGGTAGCTCTCCACTCCCCATGGGGTAACACCCAGGTCCTGATTAGGTTTGGAAAAAATGAGCTTCTATAGGCTAAAGAAGGCTTCTTTTAAGCCTAATCTGAGCAAGGGGATGGAACCCTGTGGGCACCAGGGAAGGTTTCTCTGTGGGCAAAGGTGCCACACTGGCAATCCATGCATTGCACTGTGTGTACATGAAATAAACTGCAGAGAGGAGCCACAATCCACAGCCTTCCTATGGAAAACACACACTGCAATTTTATTGAAAAGTAAGATGTAAAGTTATATAAAGGAATACAGCTTCTTTCTCAAGGCTGTTGCTCAAAAGTGCTTGTTCCACATCAGCAAGAGAACAATAGATTGAATCACATTGCTTCTTTGTTGACCTGGAATGAACCACCCTCAGCTGTTGGGACTAAACTGGGACACTGTAAGAGAGAAGTGGCCTCTTCACATATAACAGATTTCCACACACACTTTCTATATATTCATGCCTGTGACCCTTGCCACATCCCAATTCCAGCACCCTCAACCACTCAAGTCTCCTATTTTACATCTTCACTTGCTTTCCCTTATGTCTGGGCACCCTCACAGAATACTGATGGCTGAAACTCATTCCTCAAAGCCCATTTTCTTTGTGCAGCTTTTGGCTGTACATCTTAGCCCACATCTCAAACCCCAAATAAAACTGCAGTTAATCTCATGCTGCCCCTGGCCTCCTCAGTCAGCTATGCAGTCACGTGTGATAGGTGCACACACACCACCACCAGTTTTTTCATCGCATATACATTAAATAGGAAGCACCACACACTTTTCGCCTCCTTGTCTTCATAAGAACCTAAGAGGAACTTGCTGGATCAGGCCAATGACCTATCTAGTTCAGCATCCTGTTCTCACAGGACTAGGTTCCTGTGGGAAGTTGGCAAGATGAACATGAACACAACAGCAGTCTTCACACACCTGTGATTCCCCACAACTGGTATTCAGAGGCATTATGCCTCTAACTGTGGAGGCAGAACGTAGCCATTGTGGCTAGTGGCTGTCGTCCAATAATCTATAAAAGCCATCCAAGTTGGTGGCCATCACCATGTGCTGCAAAAAGAAGTTCATGGCATGTTATGAGAGACAGTCCTAAATGGATAGGACAATGTTGAGTACGAAATTTGTTGTGCAAAAAGGAGAGACCATAGAATAGTCCCATTCAACATGTTGACTTAACCCAGGTAGAATATGAAAGCATGTCACTGTTACCATCTCCTATGGTAACATAGGTACTTTTTTCCTTAAGGGGATGCCACACAGCTCAGATGACAAAAACATGTCAGGATCAATCACAGGAGAGTGAATTTCCTCCATTACAAAAGGGAGCTAAGATTTGAGTACAGTGGTACCTTGGGTTAAGAACTTAATTCGTTCTGGAGGTCCGTTCTTAACCTGAAACAGCACTTTAGCTAATGGGGCCTCCCACTGCCGCCATGCTGCCAGAGCACAATTTCTGTTCTCATCCTGAAGCAAAGTTCTTAACCCGAGGTACTATTTCTGGGTTAGCGGAGTCTGTAACCTGAAGCGTCTGTAACTTGAAGCTTCTGTAACCCGAGGTACCACTGTAGTTTATTTCCATCCTGAGCTACAAAACAAGAGATATGTGCAAGTACATTAGAGCGAATGTGTCGTATCAGGCTTAACACTGCTCTGATACATGACTTGGGCATATAGCATTAGTGGTACTAGGTTAACTGAAGAACAAGAGAAGCATTCCGGCATAAAAATTCCATTAATGTGCAAATACTGCCCTTTCACTATTTGGAGTAGGCCTACTGTTCCCAAACTTTCTCAGAGAACTGCCAGAAAGCTCAGGAGTTCCCCTAAGTTTTCCGAAAGCTTCAAAACACTGGACCAAGGGGATCTCCCTATCCATCTTACATCCTTCCCAGCCTTTGCTGTCAGAGGTCTCCCTTTGCCTCCCACTCTCAGAAATATTCCCTGCTCTAGAAGTGGGCTTTGCAAGATGAGTTTGATTTATCTTGTCACTGGTGAAGGTTTCCTAAGTGAGAAAAGCCTCCAGTTGCCAAATTCTAAACCATCTATGTTACGTGCTTCAAATCTATCAGCATGTTCTAAACTGCAAACAGTGTGCATGCTTGATGCAAACAACATAATTTTCTGGGCTTGTTAAAAAACCTATACTCAACCTCCTGCCCCCACCCACAGCAACAATTTCCTAAAGATTCAACCCCACATTTTTTTAAAAAGCTACACAGATACAAAGGGTTGTCTGATGGGTTCCTCCTAAGAACCTCTAACTTTGTTCCCTATGTACCCCTTCTCTATCCAAACACATACTCCCCAAAGGTAACTGGGAATAGTATTCTTTAGCGAAAACCTACCCAGCAAACCCTTACAAGAAAACTAACTTATGCTAGTTCTCTGTTTTAGGTGAAAACTTTTATTTCCATAGATACTCAATGTTTAAATACTGCGGCATTATGTCTAATAATAGCCAATTTATTTAAAACGGCTTTAGGAGAAAGTGTCAATTAAGCACCCACATTAATAATTGTTCTTTATGTCAATCCTTAATGTCTCCTCCCCCACTGTGTTGCAAAACAGCAAATCCTAAAATTAGTCGCCAATATATCTCCCTTTCCTCTTTCATTCATTCTCTTGGGCTTTGTTCGGTTTCTTTCACTGCATAATTGTGTGTATCTTTTTGCCTGCCTGTATTATTTAAGCCGGAAAATGAATATCTTCGAGATCTCTAAAATATCCTCTTTCCTCATTTAAGGATTAAGTTAGGCTTTTAAAAAAAATTCAATAACTTTTCTACACTTCTAAAGATTCTGACCTGGAAAAAAGCAGAAAAATCACACTGTACAGGACAGTTTGCAGTAATCAAAAATAGCTATTATTTAAATTTCTCTTTATACTTTTAATCATGGCTTCAGTGGTGACCTCAAATGGGGGCAGGGGCAAATCAAATAAAATCCACAGAATTCTTACTCATCTGAGGCCATTGTAATTGATTTCATCCTTAAATTCTCTAAAAACACAAAACAAAATGCAGAGGTTCATTAAAACGGCTTTTCAGAAGAAAGAAAATTGAAACTGCTGGGATTAAAATTAATATGAAAACAAATAATATTTAATTTCATTGTTCACTGACTAGGAACGAAACTGCATTTCATTCCAAAAACAAAGTGTAACACACCAAGTACACAATAGCTTCCTGCATCAAAATTCTCAAGATTTCCATTTGAAAATTATTTCAACTGTTTATCTACCTGTTTAAAGAAAAATAGGAATTAGAGAACCAAAATTGGAGTTGGTGGTAACCATCTGTTTAGATAACAAACTTTAGAACTTGTACCGTCTCAAAAGTTATAGGCAACGTACTAATGAATGTGATGTCAGGGCTCCTTGGCAAAATGGAGGAACTTTTAAATCTATTTTCACTATGCACAAGAGAGGAACAGGAATATTAATTGTTTGCCTGTTGATATTCAGAGGTACAATGAAGAGAGCTCCAATCTGAGGGCAGG